AGATGACCAGTACCATAGTTTTGGATTAATGGTAAATCAAAAGAAATTGTTGCATTCTTTAGATATTAGGAAAAACAGGTAATTATCATTGCTAATAATTTAAATGGATCCACTAAATTCTAAATAGCGAAGTTAGGTGCAAAGAACAAGGTAGGAGGACAACTAACCAAACGATGTAATCAGATCTGAAACAATTATTGTGAGCTCGCAAAAAAGATTTCCTTTCTAGCAAATTAAACACCAATCAAGGTGCTTCTGATCTAACAAAATTACAGATTTGATGCATGAGTATCAATTGCACACAACCTAAGGTTTTGGATAAACAAGCAAGAGGCAGTGACACATTTTTTTTTAATGGGGGCACAAATTAATAATAGCTATTTAATTTCTTCAAATCTTCTTTTTTCTTAAGTAGAATCATAAATCATAAGATAACACTACAATAAAATTATAGAAAATTCTACATTTAAAATAAGAGTTCTTCCCATAAAAAAGATATGGATATATTGCACATTTATTATTCATTAAGCACTTAATATTTTTTTGATCTGACTATATTAAAAAATTGAATTTGAATAAATTGTTTTCAAGCTTAAAAGTATGTTGTTTGTATCAATTAAATTTAATTTTCTTATTAACTCTATTATCGATTAACTAAATTATAATTAGCATAAGATAATGCTTAAACATCATTTGGAAAAAAATATTTGATGAATACTTAGATTTATATTTCATAAAAAAATATTGATACTCCTTATATTATATAAGCTATTTTTACTATAAATGGTAAGACATTTTCTCTTATTTTACAAGATAACAAATATTTTAAGTAAATAATAGATGATTTTTAATAATAAAAAAGTTTTTTTTTGCAAAATCAAAAGAAATAACTTGAAGCTTAAATATAATTATTATCATAATAACGTTAATAAATTTAGCAAGAAATATATCATGAGTCATTTCTTCTAAAAATTGATTAATTTGCTTTTTTTGCTTTGCTCTATATAATAAGAAAGAGAAGGGGGGATCAAGTATTAAAAAGCTATGTGCGATTTCTATTAGCAAGATCGTTTGCTAGAGATCTTGTTTATCCAAAACCCACTGTAAAACATAAAAACGTTGACAAGACCTTTTGCTAAAATTGGTAGGAGAAAGATGAGAAGTAATTAAACCCTTGATATCAGTTTGGCAATGTGATGGAGGGAACAATGAAATGTACGTAATTAAACCCTTATGCTTTGATTGTTTTCTTAATTTTTATGTATGATTTATAAATTATAGTGCCGTGTCCGCGCCATACTCGTATCATGTATTTTTAAGAATTGACGTGTTCTGTATCCGTATCGGTGCAACATAGCCACCAGTTATCTCCTCTCTGAATAACTCTTCATTGATCAATACCGTAAGTGCCTGCTATCTTGTGGTGGCATCGTTAGTATTGTGTAAATTATTCTTCCGCTTAAATACTTAAGAGTATGAGTGAGGGAAACTCAAGGCGACCGTTCTAATTGTTAACCGGTGGATTCTTGTAATTGGCAAATTAAGCACCTAATATTTTTGTTCTTATTTTAAATTCTCCCTCCTCTATATTGTAATTGCATGCTATTATTAGATCTTTAATTGAGAAATCCTAGAATCTAATCTTGTGAAGCATTAATTTTTAATTAGCAAGCTTACTACCTTTTTATTATTTCGATGTAATTCCTGCAACTGCTTTATGTTTCACATCACTTACTATCTCCTTAAACCCTTTAATTTTATGTACTACACTGCCTTCAATTTAACACAAAAATACGTAATCCATATTCAGAAATTTATTAGTTCTTGCTGTTCAATAATTTTTTGGTTGGAGACTGGAGTTGATAAATGGAGTCGTCCTAACTTCTTATTCTACAATTTTTCAGGGTTTTCCAAACCAAACTTCTATAATAGGATGGTAGTAGTTTACAACCAGTAACTAATAAAGATCAATAATAACAATTATATAGTTAGTTTATTAATAACATGTTAGCTAGTTTAAGTGGTGCTAATGTCATGTTTTTTTTTTGTTTAGCAACTTAATATGGATTCCCATCCACCTTACGACTAGCTTGTAAGGTTTTCCTGAGAACATGTCGGTTCTCTTTTATGAACACATACCAACAATTTGAACAACATTTTTCATAATTGCAGCTTGTTAAACTAAGGTAAATATTAATTTGATTAAAAGGTATCTGATGCTTATCAACTTGGTGAATCACTTTATCATATAAGAAATTAGTTTTGCAGAGAATCTCAATATGAAACTTAAACACCAATGAGAACCAAGAAGGTGTTTCTGAATCACAAAACAGCATTGATATACCTTTCCTCTGCTGTGTTTTTATCTTTGGTTAAAAAGGTTGAATGCCAGCCACGACCAATAGGAGAAGAAGGGTCATCTCCTGTCCCTAATACTCTAGTATAGATCAAACCATGCTTCTCCAGCTTCTCCACAAACTCTGGGTGCTTTTCCTTCATTCTCTGGTAAACATAGTGGCTGAGAATAATAGGAGTTTCCCCACCAGTTCTAGGTTCCACCTCACAATAGAAAAATAACTTTGACGGGTACTCCGGAACCTAACAAGGATATCAGATCATCAAAATAAAAAAACAACGTGTAAATTCGAAAATGTTGTCAAATCTGAGAAATGGTCGGAGGAACACCAGAGGCATTTCTCCCAATATAGAGTAATGCTATAAATTCTATTCTCTTAACATCATCTTTGGTTAGAAACAAAAAAAAGAGTCATCAACAAATTATTATAACAAAAGAAATGATGATACAGAATGTTGCTCAAAATCCCCAATTCTTCACTATGACAAAACAAGAAGTGGAATATATATGAGTGGAAAACTTAATTTTTTGTGATGTTATTGTATGTTGCCACAATGAGTGCTCTATTATGATTTTTTTTTTAACCTTTTTTTTTTTAATATGCATAAGTTTAGAACTCAGACCTCTCTTTTAGAGATATAGACAATAATACTACATGGGAAATAAGCCCATCAATGGATGGCTGCTAAGTAAATGTAAAGTAGAAGGAATCCACAGTTTTAAATTGTATTTTTTTAATGAGCAATGCTATACACAGAAGATACCAACCAACTTAGTTCATAAAAATCTTGAAAGTTATTACAAAGTCCATAGGCAAACTAATACCCAAGTCCTTGTTTCCAGCACTCAAAAAATAAATATTTCACTAATAAATAAAATATCCAAAAGTAAGCTCACTCAAAAATAATCCAAAAAGTTATACTATTTTTAGATATAATATAGAGGGATTCACATGCATAACACCCTTCATTTTATTGGAAAAGAATGGATCGAATACAAGACATGAATAATCAGGTAAAAAAAATATTTAGTTAAAAATTCTTTAAACGCATTTATAATTGCATGGGAGATGTTTTAGATGATTATAGCTCAAAAGTTTCAAGAACTTCGTATTTTTGTTTTACATTATTTAGTATTTCTGAACAAAATACTTAAATACAGACCAAAAAACACAAAAGAGCGACGATCAACTAAAAAGTCCACCTATTTGGGTAAGATAACAGTATTTTTTGTTCTATAACCAACCACTGCTTAGGTTATCTTTTATCATATAATTACTTAAAAATTTTGACTATATTCATTATTTGATTTTCTTTGATTCAGCATCCTCCTATGTTCATCGTATCGTTGGCAGGAAAAGATAAAAAAAGACGAAACTCTCAGCCAATGGTATAAACTGTGGTTTCTTCTCTTTCTTACTTTCCATTACACTCAAAAAAAAAAAAAAAAAAAAAGAAAAAAAAAGAAAAAAAGAAAAGACTTGGGCTGTTTGGTTGCCTGAAAAAGAAATGCAGTATAAAGTAAATGCAATGTAAAATAAATGTAGTGCATTTTGAATGCTTCGCACCTATTTGGTTGTCTGCAAAATAAACGCAGGAGAATCATTTCCCTTGTTTGATTTGGTAGATCCATAGTAAAGTAAAAATGGTTTTTTTATAATAATTTATTCTAGCATTACAATTAATGTATTTATAAAAACAGTATATTTATAATAATTAGTATTATTTGATATTATAAAATATAAATCAATGTATTCATTTATTGCACGATCTTATTATAATTTTTTTAGATTATAAGATATAAAAATTTTTTATGTATTAATTAGTTCACCCGTACTTTTTCTAAATTGAACGTTAAATCAAAACTATAGAAATTGTTGTTCTTTGGGCATACTCCCTTATTTTTAAGATCATGTTTCTGTGATGTAGATGCAAACGAGCAATGTAATAAAAAATAGGTTCCAACAGCAAACTGATCATTTTTTGTGTGCATGCACAAGAAGATTATTAGGGAAAGATGAATGCTCCTTGGTATGAGGATCTGCAAGAATAGTATGAATCACAGGTACCACAAGAATAGTATCAATCAACACTCAATTAGATACAATCAATAGCTACTTATGAATGCTCCCTGTTCACTCCTCAGCCACCACAAGCTACTTGTTAACACATTCGTTGAATAATAAATATAGAAGTTCCTCGCCAGCAACCTTAAGGCTCCATCGAGGAAGCCCCTGTTCGAGCGTAGGAACTGCTTCTTTTGCTCTCGGCGGCCTTGGACCTTCATCTTCCCAACCGGCTCGTTCGATTCAGCATCACCATCCCCAAAGCCCACGGCATCATCATAAAACCGATCATGAACGTGATCGACCCGCTCAACATCAACGACAGCGAGATACCCAGCATCAGCGCAGTCAGCCCCCCAAGCGAAAGCGGCGGCAACCTCTCCCGCGCCGCCAGCGCAGTGTGGCCTGCGCAGGGGATTTCGATCCTGGGAAAAAGCAGGGCGGTGAAAAGGAATGCACAGAGCTCGTCCAGTAACCTTGATGGCCTAGATTGCTGCATTTCTTGTTTCATCCTCGGAAACGTTAATATCAAACAACATAAGGTTCAGTAGCAGGTAGATTCTGAACTTGAGAACAACATAGGAAGAAAGAGCCGCTGCGAATTTGAGAAGCTCTCGACTCTATACTGAAATTAAAATTAGGATTCATCTGCCTCTCCTCCCTCCTATCCTCTCGTCATTCTCCGAGTGCCAGCAAGATGAAGATCCTCAGATTTGATATTGGAGCTTAGATGAAGAAGTCGGAATCAAAAAGAGTTGGGGAGAGAGTAAGGGAATGAGTAACGGCAAAGCTATCATAATGATTCTGACGTGCGATGCTTCCACCTTTCCCATTAAAATGCTTCTTTTGTGGTCAGTCGACGCCTAAGTGAAGGAAGAGCTCCACGACATTATTGGAGATCCACGGCGTAGTAGAACAAGCAGCGACGGGAACGTCAGCGCGATCACAGGAATGGAAAAGAGAGCAACGAAGAAGAACAGAGAAGAAAGTCGGCGAACTCATCGCGCAACAGCCCAAAGAATTTCTAACCGGCTCAATTTGAGCGGGTTCCTAAGTCACGCAAACTGCCTCCCCTAATACCCCACTATTACTGCAGAGGTATTTCTTTTATTCTGCTCCAAATTAACCAAACAATCGAATTTAAGAAATACATGTAATTGTTTTACTTTAGCCTCCTAATTCAGGCAACCAAACAACTATACCTGAGCCATCTCATGATGGAAGGGAATCTTCTGATCCGGCGGGGACTCGTTCGCAGTAAAAACTCTTCCTACGACGTTCGTCCGCGGAGCAGCGCCTCCTACGTAGGGAAACTCCTCGTAGCCGAACGCCTCTACGGCAGCGTTGAAATCTGCCGCAGTTTTCACAGGAAATCCCCTTAACAGGACCGCGCCGCTCGAGAGGAGCAGATTCTCCAGCCGCGGCCGCTGGTCTCTAACCTCATCAACGAATCGCCGGAAATCGATCTGAATCGCCGGATCCGGCGACACGATCGTCGGAAATAGGATTCCTCCGACGATCTTCTGCGCCGGGATTCGCGTCTCTTTGAACATTAGGACTTGCGCTGCCCCTCTACTCTGAGCGACTGTTTGTATTAAGTAGAATTTAGTAAATCTTTTAAATCATAATAATTTATTAAATTCTCAAAAATATTTAGTACAATAAAATAAGTCTTATCTTATTAAGTGATGTCATTTTTATCTATTATGTATAATTAAGAATCAAATTCTTATTTACTTATATAAATATTTTATAATATGAATTTAATTATCATTTTAGATATACAACAATTTGTGAAAACTTATTAACTAATACTTTAATTATTTATTAAATTATTAACTTCTAAATATTTATTTGAATGTTACTTTAATAAAATTTAATTATTAATTATTATTTGAAATAACTATGGGGTATTTAGGCCTCATTTGGTTGAATTTTGCTTATATAAATTGGACTCTCTCTGTACTAAAATCTATGTTTGAAAAAGGGAGTTTTAAATAAAATTATTATATGATGCGAGTTATTGTTGACTGGCTCTCAAGATGTACTTTAATTTTTAAAATAAAAAACTTAGAAGAGCAGAATAATTATTGTTTGCTTATTTAGACTTCTTCAGTCCTTTATGGTATAGCACATTCACTCACATACTCATACAATCTTAAATTGACACATCTCTTCAAGAATTTTATGGTATAGTATGTGTTGCTCTGTGAGAAATTTTAATAACCATGAAGCATATTTATAGGTTAATCTATTTACACTTATTATATATAAAATTATTTAATAAATTTATTTTAAACTTATATAAGTAAGCTAATTATATTAATTTTTTTAATTACTAATTATATTAAAACATTTAATTAAGTCAAAATTAGATTAAAAATTTTTACTAATTATACCATAATTATTTAATTAATTTACGGAATTGTTAATTATTTTAAATTATATATTTAAGTTAACAACTAT